GATACCTTGCACACGGGATGGGTTAGCTAAACTTAATGCCTGATGAATAATGCTAAACTTGGATCGCATGGTCACGGCGGCAGGCAAACGATGGCCATGGCCCACGTTGAAACGCACAGGACGACTTGTACACAACATCTCGCGTATCAGAGACCTACACTCATGATTCAACAAATAGCTGATTCCCATCAAGTTGTTAGGCACAATGTGCAGGTGCATGGGAAGAGGCGGCAGACAAGGTGCAGGGTCCGAAGGTCCGGCTGTTGTCCATTCGGAACTCAGCCAAATCATCCATGCATCGACTGTTCTCGCCTCGAGGGTACTTCTTGTTCCTTGTGCAAGAGACTGAGAATGGCATATTCCACCGACGGGCCGGTACCTCCATCTTCAACACGTGAATATCAAGAAAAGCGCGGGGAAAACAGCCGTATGTTCAGGCGGAAAGTGAGGCGTCAGATATTTCTCAGCCTGAAATTGGGGTATGTGGCTACGCTCGGTTATCATGGTTGAGGTGTTGTTGGCGGCTATCGATTCTGAGGCCAGACTCTGTATGCCTCTAAGCTTCACTTGAAGCCTTCGTTATGAGCCCAATCATCTCAAGGCCATGATGTTTTCAACTTCTGCATTGAGTAACTGCATCTCGAAAGTTACAGTACATCGCTAGCTTAGTTCCCGTAGCATTGCGTCAAGCCGACCTGCTGGTCTCGGCTAGGTGCAGTAGTGAAAGATGGACGAGGAAACAGATCAACTGCGCTAATAAGCGGCTTAGGTCGAGATGATGGAGAAGATTGGGTCTGGCCCCGAGACAAAGTGAGGTCAGCTCGGTGACCTCGAGACTTGAAGCTTACCAAAGAAGCTGCGGTGCTTGTGACATGACGACATAAGGTTCTGATGAGTGGTGTATCCGCAACTACAGCTTCGTGTAGGTGAACGAAAATGGAAATGTGTCTGTTTCTGCTCTGATTGGGGCAGCCGGTTAGTCAAACGGATGCTGTAAGCAAATACCGCTTCTTCAAGATTCTAGCAGGCGGTTCCTTCGTTCCAAAATTGCGGCCTCATGATGGTCAGGCACAGGAACGACGCAATGCCAAGGGACCTCCAAATACGACGACTTGACGATTGAATTGAGTCCCAGGCCATGAACACGATCTTAGTTTGCGTGCTCGTTTGGCTTAGAGGAGAAGACTGATCTTGCGATTGGCCAAATCGTTTCATTAAACGGGGGCCAGAGCCCAGGACAACGAATGGGCTGTCAACACATGAGCAAGGACTGCATCTCGATGGGTCGACTTGGTGGTCATAAATCACCTTTGGCTTGCATGTTCAGCGCGTGCAATGCGAACCAAGAGGTGGGATGAAGCTGCAGGGCGTTGGGAGAAAGAAAACGTCAGAGGTTAATGGAGGATACCAGAATGAATTCGCCAAAGAGCCCCCTAAGTTTGGACTGACTTGCCTACATCTTTTTATCACTTAGGGTCAAGTTCCTCAAGCTTTCTTGCTTGCCCCAAGCAAGGTACAACAAACAGTGTCCGGGCTTGGGCTGAAGATCATGTCGGTCGTGTAACTGAGAAAGTCTGGCAGTGTGTACAGAATGTTGTACGATTCACTCTCAAATTGATAGTGTAGCGACGAATAGTGACGTGTATGAAACCCGAATGCTTCAAAGTGTCGATGGCGTCTCAAGTCCTACACGCTAGGACGCATGATGATGGAGGTGTTGGGTTCCAAAGCAAGGCATTCATTCCCTGGGTGTCAAGATCGAATTCTGAGAAATACCGAGTTCCATCCGCCAAACCCCATACTGGCGATCCAGTTGTGACGACAGCAAGAAGAAGACATAACTGTCGAGCTTCGTGATTGCTGCCTTCAACGAGCCGCCCCATGACATCTTGTGCAAGTATCATGGGCCAGCTCAGTCATGAATGAGTTGGCCGACCCGCCGCGTGAATACTGACGCCGGGATATGTATGGAGCGGGACGGGCCAGTAGTTGCAGTGACTTGAGTGAGTCAATTAAACCTATTGGCAGCTTAGCAAATCCATCTGGCGCAGCAGACAAATCGCCGAGGCTGATGCTGTAAACTGTGGATAGTGAATTTGATAATGGACCATCAATGGCCGTTTTAGGCTCTTGCCTAGCGTACCCCTGCCATGACATCTCCCTAAATAGAAGCACTTAAAACTAGTCAATGGCGGAGTAGAGGACATCGCAGCCTGGCATTCACATTCACCGCAGACCATGTCAAAGGATGTGGCTCTGTTGAGTTGAATCATCATTACAGCCTCGTCACCGACATTGCCAGCGAATAGGTAGATAATTTCAACCTCATTAACGAGGCAGACACGGTAGACAGAGAAGGCTGACGCGTTCGATCATGAGCTTCTAGTGTTAGCGGTAGACCCAAACTACCTATCCAAGGATATGTGCAACCCTGAGCGAGAAAAGACGAAGAGGTGAGATGCCGTGGGATCCAATCGGCCTTGCATATGAGATCCCGGGGTCACCGGGGTAGTCTTAGACATTCTGGATCAATGAGAGAAGCCAAAGAGATCCATGAATGCTGAGTGAAGAATTGACTTGGATGGTTGAGATCAGGCTTGGTTGGTGGAAGCTGAAAATGGTGGTCTACCAGTAACTTGATGGATGGTGAGGGAAACCCCAAAAATGCAAGGATCTGGCGTAGTGATACACAGAGCCAGGAATAGGTAGGTAGGTAACTTCTCATAAACTCAGATGACTGAGTATTAACCAGAAATTGAAGTTGATACAGTATGTATTTGACGTTTGACTGACTCGGATAGAATATGAAAAGGAAATATTTACTGTGCATGTGCATCTGTGATGCCTCAGGTGGTATGTCTTGAAGCCTGAGACACCTATTATCGCGACCTGGAGACAGCTGGCACCTTCCGTGATGTAAATCAGACCAGCAGATGGAGGAAGGCACGGGAAGATAATCGGAAAACAATCTAGCAAAAGGAGGAAGGAGAAATGACTCAAATCACCTCGTGACTTAAGCGAGGCATCATCGATAAACAACATCTCCTCATCTCAATTGCAAAGTCAGGAACTCTCTCCAAAATCAGGACAAACATCCAACAAACGAACCCCTGTTAGGCAACTGACTGGACTCTACAGAGCCTGTTCTGCCAGTACAGTACCAATGTTAGGCTATACAGTGCACATGCACGCACTCAACCAGCCGGGACCTGTCCCAGAAATCCGCCATTCCTCCTTCGGGTCGTGATCCTGAGACGTTCAGTGCCAGGGCACGTTACCTACTTATTCGGATTCATCAGTGATTAAGAATAAATGGGTCATAAGCCAACACACGACGAGCCGAGTTTCAACAGCCTCGCACGCCTCGCTCCACCAAATACTGTACTGAGATACAGAGGACAAGGGCTTCGTGGGGGAACCTGAAGGGGAGCACAGCTGGCTCTGCGTGGTGATGAAAGATTGGTGGGTGGTAACGTTAGGGGTCCTCCAGGCATGGAGAGAAACGGATCTGTGCTCCTCTACTTCCTCCGTACAGCAAGCAATGATCTCTAACGAAGCACGCAAGTGCGTTAATTATTCGGTCTTGGTCCGAGACCACCCTGGAAAAAAAACTTCTCTGCTGTTGACGACCATCTTCATCGCCGCAGTCGAGACAACTCTAGTAATCAAGCTTACAGACCTCTACTGACGCTACCCTTGATCGACCACCATTTCAGTGAGATCCCATCGATCGGCGGGCATCAGAATCCGCCATCCTGACTGAGAAACGATTGTCGCCCATCACCCCAGGAAGACCGAATCGACGGGACGGAGGAAACAGCCCACCCATGGTGTGACTATGAGCTCGACATGAGCTCCCAAACAGCCATTACACCCTAGCTGTGGCCTGTCCCCGTGTGGTACACCGTCACAACGTCTTCACACGCGCACCCTCTTGCTCACTCTAGTGGCCGAGCACTGGCCGATGTACGCTAGGGATCTCATCCGGGGCAGTCTTTGGCTCTGCTCCCCCACGAAAGACGTGTTGTACGGTCCGCGGATAGGACTAGAGTCATCTACTTCCTACTGTAGAGCGCCATGCCTCAGGCGCCAGTCCCCGATACAGACAGTCGGTTGTGTTAAAATCTGGAATGCATCGCCTGGGGGTTTCGGCCACCTACCGTTGAAGTCGCCTCCCTAAGAGTGACCAACTTTTTCTGGCTCTGTCTGTGACCCGATTGTCTGCCCACCGTTGACTTTACGGTAGCAATGCTTTAATTAATGGCAACGCAACGTATTGCTCAGTCTTTGCCGACACCTTACTTGTCTCTTCCAGCCAACAATAATAAAGTGCAGCCCAGAGATACTAGGGCTGCAACAGTGTCACTGCCGGCTGCATACAAGAGACACTAGGGGGTGTCTATTGAAGGTTAAGCACGAGTCTGCGAGATGAGGTCTGAGGCCGGGGCGAGGCGAGGCGTTTCTTCCACTTCTCACTTTGTCCCCCGCCGTGGCCCGAGTTGACAGGTGGTCCAAAAGTGGTCCGTCCCGCCAGGTTCCTGATGTGGCCTCGAGTCCAAGTCCATGCCTGAACACACTTCTTACCCCTGGCTTCTCGACAGCTCCACTGGTTGCGTATTAAGGTCAGGCTCGGTACCAAATAAGCCCCCCTCCCCACCTACGAGCAACGTCCGCCGTTAGTCTACCATCCATATCCATATCAAGGCAGAACCGACTTAAGGTGAAGATATATCCCTTTCGATTGTCTCCTCATCTACACTATCATCAAATTCACGACTCTCGACTCTGACTCAACCTGACTGAAGCTGGCTGTGTCATATAACACAGACTACACACAAGCAAACTCAAGTATTGCTTCGCCACACCCTTTAGGCATCTTTACTTGAAGCTCAGTATTATTTACACCACTTACACGCACTCCTAAACTCTACTACTCGCTCAACATCAACCATTCTGGATACCACAACACTCTACCTTACTCAATTGGCACCTATCACACAATGACAGCTGAGCCATCATTACGGCGACAACGGAAAGTTGTCATCACTACATCTCCAGCCCCATCCGATTCTGATTCACGCCGCGACTCCTACTTCTCAGAAGTTTCTCAATCAACGGCCCCTACCTCTTTCCACTCGGCTTCCGGGTCTAACAATAAATGCCTTGATGCTCAAGGGAACAGACCTACCACAGCTATGAAGCCAACAACCATTGAGTGCAGATTCGATACTACCTCTTCCTCTATCGCCACATACGACTCGGTCCTGTCTGAGATGGCACCCTTGTGTCGAGATTTGCCAGTCGGCGGCGATGAGGTAGAATTTGAAACTGAGGATGAGGAGGAAGAAGAGGAAGAGGAGGAGGAAAGCGGCGATGAAGACGAAGACGATGATGACAGAGAGGATGACCAGGAAGACGCCGACAAGGACTACATACTATCCGACCCTGAGTCACTTCATATCCCTCCAGTGTTACCTCCTTATCGCGGAACCTCTAACGAACGCCCCTGTCGACCATCTACACCTCAAGACTTTGGCCGTCTATTCCCTTCACTGGACCGACTTGCCGTACGCCATGACGATTGTACTTCGGATGGCAACATGAATCTCCGTGTTGATACCGTTGTTCCTTTTGGACATACACGACGCACGCTTGCAGTTCAGCTATTCCACCTGCGCATGCACGATCTGGCTCGCCGAGAGTTTTCTCTTCGCCGTTACTGCCGCGACTCTGGTCGAGAGGTCTGCAACTCTAAACGTGCATATGCTCCAGCGCCCACCAGTACTGTCGCTGCAGCACGACCTGCCCTTCAAAGGTCAATGAGCTCTGCTATGCGGACGATGGCTACTCCATTTCACCGACCTACCTCCAGCAACTCTTCAATCTTCAAGTTCGGCAATGGTACCAACGCTTCTACAGCTTCTGATAACGCCTCCGTATGGTCCGGTTCGCATCACACAGAGAAATCAGACTCGCCAACTCCTAAGCCCAAGGCACGAATGGTACCTACAAACAGAATCAAGCTTGAGTTCAGCAACTATGCTCGCGTAGATATTGCACGACGAGGTGGACGCACCAACAAGCGATACGAGTTTGAGTGGTGGGGTCACACATACGCCTGGAAGCGTGTAATTGACAAGAACCTCAACGTTGTCTCATTCCACCTCGTCCGAGATGGACATGGCGCCCCCGTCGCTCATATCGTTCCTGAGATGCGAAGTCCCAACCAGATTCTAGACGATGAGATGGCTGGAGCTTGGGTTACCCCTTGCTACATCTGGATCAGTGACAGTAGCATCATCGATGCCATTACCGACGTGGCTGAGTAAGTCATGATGAAACTCCTTGATCGTGATTTAAACTAACAGCTTTTAGTGTCATCATCGCCACCGGTCTTATTTCCCTGGTCGACGACTGCATTAAGGAGCGATGGCAAGCTAAGAAACCGTCACACCGAGCTATCCGCAGGGACACTGGCGACGTCAACCATGCAAACCCTCGCTCGTTTATGCACAGCTTCTTCCAGCGACGTCACTCTGAAGAGCACTCTTCAAGCCGTGGCGCATTAAAATTCGGACGCAAGCCTGTCGCTGCGTATTAAAGTCCAAGCAACATCGGAAATAATATCGACCTTTATACTTGATATTTCCTATACGAACATCTATGGAATCTTGATTACTTCTATTTCAGAAAGGATACTGTTGGTTCAAGATCACGATTTTCGCACTTCTACTTTTCTTGTTTTAACAGACCTTTTATCCCGTCACGAACAGACGGACATGTACATATTTGGAGCTTTTCTTGTTTTGTTATCTACTGTACTCACCCACCACAGAATGGTTGGGCTGTGAGGTTTTTGGACGGGCATTTGCGGGATTCGAAATATCATCCCCCACGATTACAGCATGCGAGGCGCTTGGGAGTTTTTGGATAGGACTATGAGAAATGGGAAAGCCCAACTTAGGATTGATGATCTGGCCTGGCTTGGTATTAACCGGTGTCTTTGTTTACCCCGGATTGGACTACGCCTCTTAACCCCAGATATGAAAATGGGCATGACTTGGAGAGAATTGAATCACTACAGAACTATTGGATTGTACGAGACACCTACAAAACCAGTTTACGCTATGATCAGGCTAAAGCTGCACGATTGGGAAGAGATACAATAATGACCTGACACGAAGGCGAAATTGACAGAGTTCATGGTAATATTGCGCAAAATTTTCTTGCAGCTGCATGTCTACTTGGTCCATTGGTATAACTCAAATGCTCCAGGCCGTCCCCTCCATCCACTCAATTGGGTTTGATAGCGGGAAGAAAAAAACCCTCACCCACCCCCATCTGCAACCCCTGTCAAGCCAGCTCGAGATGCATCGGAGGACGTGGGAATCGTGCCATCTGTAACGCCACAGATGCGGGGGAAACGCCTGTCTCTTTTTCATTTCTGCAGACGTGCCTTGGCATGAGACAGTCTGCCATTGACGTCCATGTAAGTCTGACCAGCTCGTTATCCTATCCCACGCGATAATCGTCGAGACGCCAGAAGCGGTCGAGTTACAGTTGCTCGACATCATCGTGGCCGTCTGGTCTGCCGAACCATGTGCCAAAGTCGAGCTTCATGAGCAGGCGATTGATACCACCAACCCGTGCAGCTGTGAAGCCACCTCGTTCCTCTGCATCGTCTGTGTCCCGGGCTCTGCCGTCTCGCTGATCCTCTTCGTCTGCCTCAGTTGCAGTGGCGGGAGCTGTGTCGCCCTCCCATTCGGCTGTGAAGATGGGGTCGGATTCGAGAGCGCGAAGGGCGGCGACGACATCTTCGATGCCGGAGCGGACACGGGACTCGATGTCGTGAAGACGGCGCTTAACATCACGCTCTTCAGATTCAAGGTCAACAAAGGCATCGACTACGCCGGCATCTGTCTCGAGGTCTATTGATGTATAGATAGCGTGAAGACGATGTAGATGGGCAACGAGGTGATCAATGTGGATGAGGAGGTTATATAGAGGTTGGGTAAATGTTGGCTGGGTGAGAAGCAGCCGATGAATGAGAGTACGTAGGTATAGGCGATGAGCTGTTGAAAGAGTCTGAGGATCTTGGGGGGGCGTTGAATCTCGTGCTTTGGGACTATCGTCTTGAGCTGTAGGCTTGTCATTTTCATTGCCTAGCCATAAGTCGTCATCCTCTTCCTCCTCTATATCAGCACCCCCTGATTCATCTTGTAATTTGGTTGGCGTTGGTGCTCTTGACTGCCCATGCTTGGGATCATTGGCTGTCAGCCACTCATGGAAGCCCTCCCACAGCCCAGCAACAATCTCAGTCTGGAGATATGCTTCTGTTTCTGCTAGGAAGAATATGGCAGCACTTGCAGTCGTCCAAGAGCTACGCATTGAAGACGACCGAGACGTCCATCGCTTTCGAAGAAGGATAATATGTTCTCGGTCACCTTTTGCGGTTGGATATTGACGTCTCAAGGACGTAATCTTCCAGAGATCCGTAAGTCGAATGTGTGCTCTGCGCATTGATAGTAGATAGGCGTTGATGCAAGAGTAAATTTGTATGTCTGGTGGTGACAGTACCATATCCAGCGGAGGAGGAATCTGGATGGACAGCAAAGACGGGACAGAGAAAAGGAGGTTGCGAAAAGGCGACTCTGATAAGAGGCTTGCAGCATCACGGCTGAGACCTGAACCTGAGCCAAAGTTCGGAGTTGCCTTACTCTTGGTGAGATTTAGTCGTAAAAGGTCTCGAGCAAGCTCAAGTTGTTCATCTTCCTCTGCATGTTGACCCTGCATAGATGCTAGAACAGCCCACGTCCTTGCGAGAACCGCTGCAACTTCACCCTCTTTTACTGTCACGTTCTTTAGACCGTCACCCTTTTCGTAGGCCAAGTTATCTGCTCGCCTCCAACGACTGCGTATTTTTTCATCTGCCTCGTGGGTTAACTGCATTGCAAATTCACCACGACCGAGGAGGAAGAAATCTCGCAATAATTGTAGCATTTCCGTCACCTTGGCTAGCGGGAGGAGTTTTTGAAGCGTGTTTTCGGATAGAGATATCCGGACTGCGATGATGGCTCTTGAGAAGCTGGTGCTTTTTAGTGGAAAGGAGAGGCTGGATAATTCTTGAAGCTTTGATGATAGGTGATCTAGACCACGAAGGCCTGAGTCAACGCTGCTCTTGACTCGGATGTGATTTAGAGATTTTCCAATGAAGAGCATGGATGAAGCCGTAGCTGGTGTCACGAATGCTGGTAACAGACTGGATCGTGATATATACTCCTGCTTCCGTTAGCAATGTTTTGCAAAGGCGCCAAACGAGACTTACCTCTTCGGACTCTTCGACCTTCTGGACGAAGAAATCGTCACCTCCAAAGCTCGGGAGTCTTCCGTATAATATCCAAGCAGAAACCTGTTTCAGCCATGCTGTTTCTGCCACTGTAACAAGACTCATAGCCGTCTCTTGCACATCCCTATACCCGCTCTGCAGCTCAACTCGTAGACGATCCATGAGCTGAGCGCCGTGGCAGGTCTCCCCCTTCTTGTTCTTCGCCAGCATAAACTGCACCATCTCCCAAAGCCACTCCATCCTCCTAGTCCAGTCCTTAAACTCGCCTATAACCGCCGTCAACGGCACAATGTTATAAGCTCCCACCAGATCCGGGTCATCTTGTAATATGCTCGCCTCGACATCGAGAACTTTGCGCTGGAAGGCTGCTAGATGGATGGAGTCTATGGCTGTTGCGACGGCTCGGCAGATGGTCGAGGGGTGCGAGTTAGCTACTTGGGCCGTGTAGCTGATCAGTTTGATGTGGACATCGCTGAGGTGGGCGGCAGAGGCGAGGAGTTGGCGCTCGGCTGGTGATACGCCGGAGAGGGCATGAGGTCGAGTTGCATCGGTTCGTAGGAGCGGGGAGGGATGTCCCGAGAGGGAGAGTAGGATTTCGTGGAGCATGATCGTGGTTGTGGTTCTGGTTCTGGTTCAGAGCTTGGTATAATTAGCGGTGATGCTTTATAGGACGATAACATTAGCAAACATACCGATCTTGCGCCTTTCTTGACCTCATAGAATCCCCGATCTCCCGCAAGATAATTATGATAACACCGAGAAGCTCAAAGCGGCACATGAACCAAGCAGTCGTGCGTCTGTTGTGTATTGTTGATGATGTTGATCTTGAAGATTTATCCAAAGCTCCAGATTTGAGCCTCGACAACCAATCGCGGGCGTTCATCCAAATTCAAGCTCAGACGAAAAATCTTCTCGTTTACTGTGACTATTGGGCTTTTTAGGCTTGAACATAGCGCGATATTAACAGGAAGAAATCAGTATCTTATTGACTTCGAGGTGAAGCTCCTGAAAGCGCGACGCGAAGGTCGTAGCTGCCCCGCGATCTACCGTGAACTTGATAGTTCATACTGTGCTAACACTACATCACTTACACCAGAATTCAAGCCTCATTTCTAACACTATTCGTCACTCAACTGAAACGTTTCTGCTCAAATATTACAGCTTTTAATAACTAATAAACGATCAATTCATTACCGCCTAGCAAAAGGTTCAAATAGACCACGCCAAATCAAGTCACAAGTCTTCGCTATTCCGATATCGACACCCCTCAATAATGTCCTTTGGCAGGTTTCTTACCATTAGGATCATATCCACTGGCGATGCTCACATTATCACCATATGTGTTGTGTGAGCCCTGACCATTTCCCTCTCTTGTCTCGAAGTTAGGGTTATTGTTATCAGTGCCTCCCACGATGATCTCACCACCACCCTTGACCTTGCCAACTACCATGCCCTTAGCAACACTCTTGAGGATGGCACGTCGAGATACACCTGTCACATCGATGTAGACAAGTCCCACATTCTTGACACCGCCACCAAGATTGCGCGACAACTCGCCAGCCTCCTCACCCCAGCGGTGGCCGACAACAGTTGTCACGCTGGATGATGTGCCGGTGAGTAGATTGCGGCCGGCTTGTTCAATGCCATCAACGACAGTATTGAAGGCCATCAAGCTCTTGTTCAGAACACCTGGCTTATAGGTATCGATCGCATTACCGTCCTTGTCATAACCCCTGGCTCTACCATCTTTGCGACGCGTGACAGTTGCACCCAGGTTCTGTGCCATGTTGCCGATAGTGCCCACAGTGGTAGCCGAAAATGTGGCTGCTTTGTTAGAGAAGTTGTTGATTCGGCGAATATGCGCATGTGTTGTAGGCGCAAATGTCACAGGCTTGGCGAGGGGCTTTGTGTTCTTGGTGAAGCTGTCGGCTTGGCTCTGAAGGGTTCTAGAAACAACGTCTGAAGTTGTGACGATAAGGCGAGATGCCTTGCTCGCACTATTCACAATTGTTGACTTTTTATAGGCAGGGTGCATGTCCATCTCAGCCCATGGCTGCGACACAGGCTGCACAGAAATGTTCTGGCCACCATCGGTAGGAAGAGCAATCTCGACAGGTTCTGCACCAATGTTAGCAAAGCAAAGTATGGTCATCGATTTTGTAGTACACACCTTTGGAACCGGGTTTAATTTTACTGTCTTCCACCACTTGGTAGCTATCGGTCAACTCTCCAAGGACACTGCCGTCTTCCTCATCGATGAGAACAATCCTGCCTCCAGTATGTGAGCTATGGCTCCCCTGGACATACCCTTCTCCGGGGTTATAGTCAGCCGGGTTGTATGCGGGGAGTTGCTCGCCAGCTGCTTCGCGCGCCTTGGCTTGGGCCTTCTCGGATGGTCTTGGGGGCTGAGGAGGAGCTGCTCTTTCAAGGAAAGCGGTGCACTGGGCGAGGATGGTCTCGAAAGTATCGACATCTTCCTGGACACCCGACCTGGAGTTTGTGGGGGGGAATTCGATCCTGGTGAAAGCGCCGCTATCGGGGCCAAGATCCCAGCGAGGAATCAAATAGCTCGTAGGTGGTTGGTGGTAGATCTGTGTCGTAGCGGGAAGAGGGAGATCGAGCTCAGGAGGCAGGTGAAGGTGCAGGTAGAAGTCCTCCTCGCCATCAGAGCCGCTGCCTGAAGGTTCGACAAAGCCAGATGAGGTCGGGACCATGAGGAGGGACAGGGTCTGAGGCCCTGAGGGAGTGAGGGACTGCTCTTTGCCATTGGAAATGTGGTAGGCGTTGATGCCCTCTACAGCGTAGAGGAGCTTCGGATCCTATTCGAGATTTTGTCAGTATCGTAAGTGGCGGCAAAGGGAGAACGTCATGGGTGTGCCATGATGCGCCTGGAGTGTATTTTTGGACCTACATTATGCCCAGAAGACATGTTTGCGATTATCTGGTATGTATGGAGAGCAAAAAAAGATACAATCTTGGTATTATGCAATACAGAAAGAAGAATAGGTTTAGGATAACGAGTAGAAGACGAGAAAAGGGGAGAGTTGTTGAAATCCTGGAACTTGGGAAGTCGCAAGACGTGATGTGATGGAGGGGCCGGGTTCAGGTTGGTTCAGGTTTATGACAGCAGCAGCATCATTCGATCCACCAGCAAGAAACACAGACAGACACACAATTCAAGACAAGCGCGATGCGCGTCAATGCAATGCAACAGAGCTATAACTTGGGCGGCTGTTGCAGGAGCTTGATTTGAAGAGCTGTGTGATCTAGCGCATCCTCATCAAAGAGGGTGGGCGTCTGTCGGCGCTTAAATTGAGAACTGAGAAGCTCTACTCAAGCTGTGAGGCCTCTTGAGGCAATCGACGTCATTCATTGGTTGGGGGGAGCAAATGATCCTGGCATCGCGGTGTCGCCACTCAAGGGGAGTGACATTGTTCTAGGTCTGGCCATTCTGAGTTAATTTTGAGTCTAAGCAGACACATGAAAGAGGTTATTTTCTTTGTTGGGATCGTCTCATGATGGGATCAAAAGACAATTTAGAGGTTCGATTGCGTGTGCACATGGGCGAAGCACTTAAGCTTAAAGTCCCTGGCTTTTGGCTTCAGAGGGTCCAGGCTCCCTTGGAGGTTAGTCCATCTTGGCGTTGTAACGGGGCATGGATCTTGATGGCAGTCGGCAATTGGCAGTGACATTCATTCAGGAGCTCTTTGGGAGGCAGCTCAGCTTTTTTGCCGTTCAACAATTAAAAAATGGCCACGCAAGTATTGAGGCGCATTTTCGGGATTATGATGAGCCGAGTGTTTGACTTTGAGAGGCAACGTCCATCTCTTGTATACAGTACAATACGTGTTAGGTAATCTGGCTTAAAAGTGATGAAGAGGGTGCGAAAAATACAAGGTCACTTGTCAAAGAGTCTGCTAAATTTGTCCTAAATTATACCAAGTTTGTCCATTTATTTTTGCCCTCTACTAGAATCAGTCCTGTTCTCTTTTGACCTGCTTCAACCCGTCTCCGTCTCCGTGCCCATAGCTCGAATCTGTCTCCCGTGCCCATAACTAGCCTTCATAGACCTGTTCCCGAGTTTTTCATCCGTCGATGTTTTTGATAATGGGGTTCCTTATGGATACCCAAGGCCAGATTGAAAAGTCTGGAGCGTCTTGGAGTTGCATATAGATTGGTAATAAATTGCTGCTCTCATTTCAGTTGCCAGTTACGGTCATCATGCTATGACTCGGCCGAAGCTACGGGGCTAATCCGATGCAGCAATCATTCATTCATATTAGATGTAAATTCATTTGCCCTTCTACAATTATTCTGTATTGTTATATTTGCAGCTCATTCAACTGCCGCAGTTGACCTAATAGATATCTATATAGTATACGGTCGATAGTTGATCTCCAATTTGTATCAACTTGTATTGTAGCGTCGTCTGGGAACTATCAACAGAGAATTGAGGCTCATCCACTTCAGATCCAACATCATGAGTAGACCCCCACTCAGGCTAAGACGACGGCCGGCGGCGTCTTCAAAAACAAACCCACAGGGCACTTTCGTCTCTTTTATCATGTTGTTTTACCCCATCATTACGTAGCGATATATTCTCCATATCTTCAACCCCATATAGTTCCCACTTCGGCGTACCTAGAGTCCTAAACCTCCAAGGACCCCGGCGGCGATTTGACCTAAACAGAAGTTACCCATTGGATAAATCTTGTTCCCGAGCAATTCCAACGACATATGTCGGAGGAGTTGCGCAGAAACACTCAAGTCAGCTATGAGGAACAGAATGAGAAACTCAACTTCGTTAACAAATTGACGAGCAAAAGTAATTTGAACTGCCAATATGTCTGTCGTCACTTATAAGTTCGACTTGGACGTTTAAAGTTGCGCGATCCTTGAGGCTCTGCTATAAAAATGCCAAACTCGGATTTACGGCTACAGACACTCGGAATTGACACACTAATTTAGTTTTCCCTGCTTTCCTAGCGTAGCCGGCGCCTTTTGATGGACATATTTCCGTCAAAGGCCCTGTTTCGGCGCCCTCAGACTACATATCTCCAGCAATAGTGAGAGCAGGTATGGATCCATGATACCTTGTCTAGTAGCTTCTCGGCTGTCACTTTGCCCAGATTTATGCACTTCCGGTCTCGATATTACCATGCCAGGACTAGTTAGCCGGGTGCGTGGACCGATGATGGGATCTCATAAGTCGGCTCGACAATATGAAAGTCGGCCCGGGGATCTCATTTCGTCTTCCTTTTCTATATGTAGCTTGTGATCCTTCTTAGATCAGTAGTTCCCTGGGCTGAGTTTTACATAAGTACTATTATAGCCTGTTCAAACGTCGACTTACCAGTTCTTGCTTTGCTATTTTACCTCGATGGAATCTCCAGAGAAGTTGACGCTTTCTTGACATATTATTTCTTCTCGGAACTTTTGCTCAAATAACCATCTCCATTGATTTCTACAAAGAAATCCTCAAGTCTCTGACCTAAATCTGCACCATAGAGACAGCTCTGTAAGAGCACCAAAATCGGCAAAATAGCTTCCCAGCTCCACATCCAGTCTATACTCTCGCCTACAGACCCAGAGGGTGGCAAATCCAACGCATCTCCAAAGGCTTTAACAACCTCGAAAAGAAAACTCGAAGAATTATCATCAGCCCAAGAGGGCACGTCATCGGTGTCAATCTGGCATGCTCAACATGACGAGCATTCTAGACCTGATGTCGGTGATGATAACTCTCCGGGCAGACTCACACCAGCCACCTCTGATGAGAAAGCTGGAAGGAGAGGATCACGAATTAAACAGCCAATTCGATCTAGCATTGCTTGCCTGAGATGTCGAAGATCGAAGATAAAGTGTGATAATGATGGCGGCAATAGCCCGTGCGACACGTGTGTTAAAGGAGGACATCAGTGCCAATATCCAGAAGCAGTTCCTCTACCACCAAAACGAAACGATTCCCCAACAGCAGGGAAGCCCGAGAAGGAACCACAACAGGAGAAGAAACGAACGAGGAAAGCGGATGATACATCAAAATGGGGCAGCAAAAGATCAGCCGTATACGCAGCCGAGGTTCTCGCCTACCCCTTTCTAACGACGGAACTATGGGATCAGCTGCTCAACATTTACAAGCTACACTATGCCACGGAGTTACCCTTCATTCACTTACCATCTTTGAAGGAGAAAATTAGCAGTGGATCAGGTCAGGGGAAAGAGGATTCATCAGAGCTGAACTTGGTCCTGCTTGGTATCTTGATGCTTACAGCACGTTTCCATCCCGATCTGGTACGGTATGTGACGCATTTACCAAATCAACATGGCGCAAATAATCGATCGTCCGCCTCAAAAACCAAGCCTGGACCGTTATACGCCTCGGATTTCTTTGCTACTGCACTGACAACAGCTTTGGGCCCCCTCAGGACAGTCATGGATACTCTCACGGTTGAAAGAATACAGTCTTTCCTGATGCTTGGATTATTCGAGTGGAGCCAAGAGAACGACTCCAGTGCTTGGATGTATCTTGGGATAGCTATTCGCATGGCCAAGCTGAGGAGGCTAGAACAAGATGACCGGCGAATGGCTATACTGGAAAACCAAGGGCCTGACACAAAACGTTTCGGGCAGAAATCACCGGAGATTGCGATAATAAGAGAGACACGGAGACGGACGATGCATAGCTGCTTCATTCTGGATCGTCTGATGAGCTGCGGGGGCGAGCGACCGCTAAGCATTGCAGTTGAGAGCATGCTGATCCAGTTGCCATGTTCTGAAACTGCCTTTGATCTGTCTCTTCAAGTCTGCACTGGACTATTGCAACCACACGAAGGATCAAGTCAGCAAAAGATCAACGATGATAGCACGTTAAGCCGATTTGTCAAGCTGGTCGAGATATGGGGCGAGATTTCGAAATACAGTTCGATGGGTGGCCGATCACAAGAAGCACATCCTCCATGGGACACTAAATCGACTTTCTACAAGTTACGAGAGAAGATAATTGCGTTCGACAGAGATCTCCCTGACACTTTCACATTATCTCGACAGAATTACTACCGACATGATAATCACCAGGCTACCAACACCTATGTGTCGCTACATATGCTGGCCTCAGTTTGTCATATTGTTCTCAACCGAGAATATCTTCCGTTTCTGCCCCTGCGATGCCCCCGGCCTCAGGGACCCCCCATAGTCAACCAAACTATACTCAACTTTGCGCCAGATCGGTTCTAGGAAGAGAGTGCAGAAGACGTCTTTCAGTCATCTCGTAACATCATCGATTTGGTTGGTCTCAGCAAAGAAAAGCTGCCTTTGTCCTCGTTGTCGATATTCTCCATCTGGGTCGCTGGGTTCATGTCTGTATATGCTCACCACTTCCCGCAGATGGATACGAGCCATACATTGGGAAGTGAACAGGCTGAGAGTCCTCATACGGGACAGAATATGAGTATACTCGAACAGGGGCAGGCCGGGACAGCAAGTCAGGCATTACGGAGAGCTGCAACTTACTTGCCTAGCGCTCAAAGATACCTAGATAATCTTGAGGCAGTTGACCAGAGTTTTACACAAGCAAAGAACTCGACGCAGGGATCGCTAAGTCTTAGGTTTGGCGGAGTTGGCCACAGGAGTGAACTCAACCAGACAGGATCACAAGATCAACGACGAGGGGTATGCGATACGCACCACAAAAGTATAAGCCCTATGTCAGCGTCTCCGAAGATGAGAAACTCGCCTAGATCAATGCTGGAGGAGCCCCCCAAGCCCAACTCTTCAGCGTCAAAGAGCCAACTCTCGCTGCCTGGGATTGATGAGGGACCATTAGTGAAGAACACACCAAAGCTCGTATTGGACAATATTGAGACCTTGGAGTCGGGAAGGATGAGTTGGATACTGAATGATTTGGAAGGCTTCTCGGGTGCAGGTTCTTTGAGAGTTGCCTTTTTGCAATAGACAGAAGCTCGGTCTTGGAGTTCTGTTTGGTATTTCGATACGGGGAATACATACATGTATAATGAATTGACGGCCGGAATAGGGTAGAGGTTATGGCGTGGACATTTGGTAGCTTTTCAACTAGACTAGCAGGAGTAGCATTGATCTTTTACCATCTGTCATGTTATGTATGTACCACTGTGCAACGAGTGTGTTTGTAGCATCGTGTAAGATGCAGCAAGCGAGGTTTCACCGTGAAGCTTGAGATCGAAGCAGAGGCAAAGATAGGAAGCCTCTCAACATCAGGCAAGAGCATTTCCTTCCAGGTTGGCAAGACCTTCCAAGAACGAATCTACCTACGCCTCAGTCAGCCGATTCTTAATAATCAATGGAACCCTTTTCTTTTCTTCTCTCTACTCTCAACACCATTGACAGACTTGCATGCATGCATGCTGGGATCGTTATGATGTGGAATCTTGTCACAAACAGATACTGACATACCGGCCCGAATCATAGACTCGGTACATAACTGACGTTACTGCGGTTTTCAATTCGGCAATACTGATCACTCATCATTTCCGACGCTGCAAGGTTACACAACAGCAAAGCTTTGATGAGCCCGCTTACTTATAGCATGACGTCCGGATCAAGTCACCAAATGGATCGCCAAGACCGGCAAATGCAAGTCACTGCGCCTAGTGCTCACCCCTTGTCTGCTGCTTCCAAATTTCAGGTGTCTTAGTGGACAGCCGACTACCAAGAGGGGCCTAGAGCTGGCATCTGCGGCAGCTTTGCGGGGTTCCTCACAAACCAGCTTCAATAAGTCCCATCTTATCGAGATATGAGCGAATCCCGTTCCATGTACAATCGACAACGGACAAGTCGATGACCCGTGCAAACCGGTTTACGAGGCAGGGCTCGTATATGTACAGTACTTTGCTCCCTGCGGCTCAAAAGAAAACCTGTACCGAGGCTCTGCAGGGAGTCGATTTGGGGCAGGTAACGGTACCTTGGCTGAGCAGAGACAGCTAAGGTACGGATCTCCATTGCTTCAAAACATCTGGGGTAAGCTCTCAGATCACGCAACATAAGGCTGAAGTTCCGAAACACCATGCAAGGCGACGAGCAACATTGATAGATACTTAAAGCCCCAATATCGACTAGAACATCTGGTACAAACGCTTTCTTCTACAGAACGATCGCCTCTCGACCCATCAAAGCTCAAGCTCAGACTTGCCCTGGTGAGCTTCCACATCGACATCACGCTCCCACGCGCGTGGGGCGTGGGGCTTGACTCTCGTGATTGATTTGCCAGTTCCTCGTCTCTCTCCCACTCTCGCTCCACAAGTGCTGATGTCTCCCAGTTTGAGAATGCATGTCATGACAAACTTATTTCAGAATCGTTCACATGGAGAAGGCAGCAGGTCGCCAGTACATACGTAGCACACATCCGCCGCGCCGAAGCTTGTATGAGGAGGGCTATTTACTCTCTTTGAGGCACAGCCGGCTTCCCCTTGCGATCCAAGTGGACCGTGGTTCCTGGCGCAGAGTCTCATCGTTAGACCGTTGGATGTTATGACGATTCGCTGAACTAAGAATAGTGTACCACCCCCCGCGTTGCTTGGATATTCTGACCGGGCGGTTCGATCAAGCCATGAGGAGTCTTTCGAGCTATTCTCCACTGAGGAGGCCAAAGTGCTCAGGTACCTTGGAGCTATTGAGATGGTGGGAGGACTATTAACAAGAGCCACGCCCTTTGAGACGATTCTTGTTGCAGCTTATAAACCATATATACCCCGTCCGTCCGCTTCTATCAAGCATCATATTCCCACCTGAAGCCATATTTTGTTTGTTAAATCTGTGTTTGCTTTGCAATGCCTTCCATCACAACGGCTTCAGCTACCCCTCAAAGGGTGAAGCCGACGACAGCCAAGCCATCGTCAGCTTTACCCAGTATTATTGATATCCGCGGTGAACATGTCGAAATCAACCTGAAAGAAGAAATTGCTTCCATGTTCAACCCTGACGAGGGCCCAAGGAAGCTTCCAACCCTTCTTCTATACAACGAGAAGGGGCTACAGATATTCGAGGACGTATGTTGATTCTGTTGAGAGATCCCCGTTGCTGTTACTCATACTACTCCAGATCACGTATCTGGATGAGTATTACTTGACAAACTATGAGATTGAGATCCTGAAGAAGTCCTCTGCGGAGATCGCCAGTCAGATCCCAGAAGGTTCCATGGTGATTGAGCTGGGAAGCGGGTTGGTCAATCTTCCCCATGATTTTAGACATCATTCACTAATTTTGAGAAAGAAACCTCCGCAAGGTCTGTCTCCTTCTACAGGCATTCGAGGAGCTTAAAAAGCCCGTTCAGTATTTTGCTCTCGACTTGTCTCTCAAAGAGCTTGAACGTACTCTGGCTCAGGTTCCTGACTTCAAATATGTCTCATGCCACGGCCTCCATGGTACATACGATGATGGGAGGGAATGGCTCAAGCATCCTTCTCTCACGAGCCGTTCAAAGTGCATTATCCACCTCGGCTCCAGTATTGGTGCGTTTACACCGGTCGTTCAAGTTTCAAGGTGCTAACGTAAGAATTACAGGCAACTTCACCCGAGACGGCGCAGCTGATTTCTTGGGAGGATTTGCAGAAGTACTCACACCATCTGATTCCATGATCGTTGCTGTAGACTCTTGCAGCAACCCGGCGCAGGTCTAGTAAGTCAACGATGTTGCTTGTTGTAAGCAATACTAACGTATGTATAGTCATGCATACAACGGTACGTTGCAATTCAACGCTCAACACACAATTCGATATTAATGCCGCAGTTCTCTAATACAGACTCCAAGGGGGTAACTCATCAGTAAGCTGATTGGCTCTGTCTGGTTGACCGGAAACTGACATCATGTAGATTCATTCTGAATGGTCTTCAAAACGCCAATGAGATCCTTGGTGAAGAGGCCTTCAACACGGATGAGTGGAGGGTTATCGGTGAGTATGTCTATGACGTTGAAGGTGGACGACATCAGGCCTTCCTCTCTCCCACTCGGCCAACGGATGCTCTCGGATCGAGAGTTTTGCCTCACGAGCGCATAGAGATCGAACAAAGTCTCAAATATTCCGAGGCAGAGAAGGACAGGCTCTGGAAACTTGCAGGCTTGACCGAGATGGGTCAATGGAGCCGGGGAGATGAGTATGGTAGGTCACATTCTCTTATGATACATACATGTCCCACCCAAAACACGCGATCAGAGGTCCTTTGGGTCATGCATCCCCGGATTACCCCGCGAATCGTACCAAAGGAGGGTTTCCCTTTCCAGCTGAGCCGGCAGCATGAGTCCAAACTCGGGAGCGGACCCATATGACGTGGGGGTACATGCTCCGAGCTGAAGTTATATCGAGAATACAGGGAATTTGGTGACACAAGACTAACAATTGTTTAGGCCTCCATTTCCTGAAAAAGTCCAGTATGCCGTTCAGCCTGATCCCTTCCCTCTACGCCGCAGAGCCACTGCCAACCGTCCAAGACTGGAAAGCACTTTGGAAAGCATGGGATGTAGTAACCAAGGATATGATGCCGGATGAGGAGCTCCAGGAGAAGCCAATCAAGCTGCGAAATGCTTGCATTTTCTACCTTGGCCATATCCCGACCTTCCTCGATATCCAATTGACCAAAACTACTGGCAGTGCCCCAACTGAGCCTGCGACCTACTACTCAATCTTTGAGCGAGGTATCGACCCTGATGTGGACAACCCTGAGCACTGCCATACTCACTCTGAAATCCCTGATGAATGGCCATCAGTTCAAGAGATCATGACCTACCAAGACAGGGTCAGATCTCGTCTTCAAAAACTGTACAAAAATGGCCAGGATAAGATTCCTCGAGACATTGGTCGAGCTATATGGGTTGGTTTTGAGCATGAGCTGATGCATATCGAGACCCTGCTCTATATGATGCTCCAAAGTGACAGAACGCTTCCACCTCCACATACGGTACAGCCTGATTTTGCCAAACTGGCTCAGCAAGCATACGAAGCCAGGGTTCCTAACCAATGGTTTGATGTACCTGAGCAAACCATCACTCTGGGAATGGACGACCCCGAGGATGGTACTGATAATTCGCGCCATTTTGGCTGGTAAGTGTGCATCAGTATGCTTAGGGGTAAATCGTTACTAACTTTATCGAACAGGGACAATGAGAAGCCCGCGCGACAGGCAAAAGTCCATGCCTTCCAAGCTCAGGGCAGAGCCATCACCAATGAAGAGGTATGTGAGATTGTTTCCGAGGTGTCCTATAG